GAAAGAGTCACCTTTGAAGATTGGGAAACAAATTGTGGGTTACCTATCACACCCTTTGTGTAGTTGCTCTAGTAAGTGTCTGTTGCAGCTGAGATAAGAATCATACTTGAGTTTGAGTATTCTAGTAATTAAGAGTGACTGTAATACTCTGATGGCAAAGGCGGCTAGAAGTCATTACAAACAAAACTCTTGTCCCACAGACTCTGCTACTGCTCCTGTAATCTCACCTTGTAGTCTCTTAAAGATGTAATTTGTAGCAATAAACTTTTTAAAAATTTAGATGCATTGTTCATAACAGGTGACTAGCACTCAACTCTTAACAGTCTTGTACAACCCTTTTGTTTCCAGAGAGGTTGTGAGTGTTTGGGGGTGTTGTTGGTGGTGGTCTTACTAAATGCTAATCTGTCATAAAGGTGGCATGAGTCACATTAAGTCATGCTTGGTCATAAAATGCTTTATTTTAAGTGTTAAGTAACACTTAACACTGTTCAGGTGGAAAATTTTTATATTTTTCCTTCCAAGAAATCAGTCATAGAGTGATGAGTAACCCATTGTGCAATTTCCTGAGCTGTTTAGACTGTAATGTACACGATGTCATAGTGAACTGTGACAGGTTCAGTAAAAGCTTGTCATAATATTTGAAGTAATCTTCCTGGGGTCATACTGAAAATACTTCATTTTAAAAAAAAAAAAAAAAAAAAAAAAAGAAGCCCTGAACCTTTCATAGCAATTTTTAAACTACAGGTATTTGGGATAAGCAGTTATAGCTGTAACAGATGATCTGTATTTCCCGTATAATTAATTTGATTGCTCTGTAATTTAAAGAGTATATCAAAGAAAAGAAAGCCTGACACTGCAGAGCACAGATACTACTGAGTAAGTTCTAAGCTAAACTGCATCTCTAAACTGTACGCTGAAGACAGTCCAGCTCTGCATTTGGGGAGTGAATATTGCATCTTGGGATAATTGGGTGCTATCTGCATTAAAATTTTCAGCTATTGTGTTTCTGAAGAATTGTTTCTAAGTAGTATTTTAACGTCTTTGCTAAATCCATTGTAAGGACATCCCCCCCAAAATATCCTAAGGTGATGAGGATTGACGTCTTTAAAATCAATAAATGTTTTGTGCTTGAGCATTCTTCAGAGATTGGTCAAGCGTAAAATCCAGGATATTTTATTCTTTTGGCATTGAGGTGGGAGAACGCAATCCAGAAATGCCTGAAAAATAGGAGAGGCCTTTCTTCTTTTAAGTAGGGTTTGATCTTTACTTCCAAATTGGCAGAATTTTAAGTGGTAGAAAATGGAAGTATTTACTAGGAACAGGTAACACCCTTTACAAGTTTAAGCAAGTACTAAAAAATCAACTGTTGAACAATTTTGATTTCCTCTCTCTTAATAACTCTTCGAGCTTACATTTAATAGTGATCAAAATCACAGGAATTGCATGTTTGAAATGTGCCTTTTCTTTATCCATAAACACACAAAACATTTGCCAAAAATACTGAAAAAACCCCTGTCTTTTAGTTGATCCTTTTTGAACTTGGTGGAAGAACTTTTCCAGATTTGTTTTTTTACATAGGTGTTTGTTTTACTGTGGTCCTGTAATTGGCCTGGTTTTCCCCTAATTCTTAAGTAGTTAGTCCACAGTGCAGATTTGGCTGCTTCTAGTGTACCTATGGTACACTAGTGTACATAGTGTATGTGTTAAGGAAATGATTAAGTGATGAGTAGTTCATATACAGGAGCCAGAATGTAGTAAATTTAATCTGTATGCACTTCAGAACGTAACATGGGTGAAGCTAAAGAGACATAAGGTACAAAAACAAATTCCAGTGGGAGATGAAAAGGGCAAGAGCCCTTGGGTACCCCATGGGAGAACATTTCAAACCAAGCTTCCACTTCCCTCCTTCTCTGAACTGAACTGAGCTGAACTGATGTTTGGAAAAAAAACTTTCAAGGAGTCACAAAATTAAAGTTCGCAGGTCCCTGGGATACTAGGAATCACAGGCACGAAGGGGTACGGTAAAGAACCTGTCTTCTCTCCTTCCTGTAAACAGAATTTTATTACCTTTTACTCTCTGTTAATCGGCTACAAATCTGCAAGTGCCAGTTAACTTCCTGGCTCCTCTGTGGTCTGTCTGATCAGCATGTATAGGCTGATTTAAACCCATTGTCTCCATGTAATATTTAAGCTTTAAAGATTGTGGATTCTACTTCAGACCTGAAAGAGTGCTTTTACGCCTGAAAGCTTACTTTTTACAACTATGGCATTTAGTTTAATGAAGGTGGTGTTGTTTCTTCCATACCTGAGGAAAAAGGTCCTTCCAGGACTTAGGTAATCTGTCCTATCCTAAAAATACTCTGAGCAATGCAAAAAAGGGGATTACCTCTCTCAGCTAGTGTTAGAAAGAGCATACGTGATGAGAAATGGCCAAAGTTTTAAACAAGAAAGTTAGGTAAGATGAATCCTGGGCTAACCGTGGGCAAAGCTGATTTTTGGCAAGTTGTCTATGTCCGGGTTCTTTTCTTGACTGTTCTTCCAGACCCTATTGGGAGCTGCGTCTCCTAGACATCGTATATAGAAGGCTTTGGGGAAAGATATGTGCGTGTAATAGTGCTAACAAGATACAAACGATGCTTTTCTCTACATCTCTGGTTCCAGGGGCATGGATGGTGCAGATGACTGAAGGTCTCCAGCACCACCCTGCCAGTAACCTGGGATGAGGCTGCTGCTCAGCCTAACTAAGGCAATTTGCAGGGCTGGGGGTAACAAAAACTGTTGTGTGAGGAGAACTTGCTCCCTGTGGGGCAGGGTGGTTGTTGTCACGCTGCAGAGCAGTACTTCAGTTTTCGTGGTGCCTGGCAGCTGGGTTATGACTCCCTTGCTCAGATATGGAGGTGATGTCTTGCTCTCCAGGCCTTTCTGGTAAGTCAGAAGGCAGTGCTTCTTCCTAGGGATAGTCTTGAGGTCTGACAGGTTTAGCTGGTATTGAATTCAGCTGCCTGTCCTTGATGTTGTTGTTACTACTCTCAGCAGCTTGTATGGGCTTCTGAAAGAAGTGGGAAAGCACTGGCATTTCACTAGTAAACCCTGACTCTAGAAATAGTCTCAGTGCACGGGCTGACTTGCATGGGAGGGTTGTACTTAATTAAATCGCATTGATTTCAACATAAACACATGCAAGTGAGATACATTGATTACTTCTGTATTCAGGCCTCTTTTTAGATGGGGGGAAACGAAATAACTGCTATCGAGAGATTCTTAGGAGGCATCTGGCATGTTTTGTCATTCACCTGATATCAGAAACACTGGTTTGCATAGATGTCAATCAAGTTCAGGTGTCATGCACTGTAGTTGTACCCTGGCATTTATGCATTGAAAAATCTTAATGAATGTCTGCTGAAGAAATTGGGTTAAGGAAACATCATTTTCACAGCTTTTGCTATATGTGGCATACAGGTATAGACATACCCGAGACATCTGAACGGTCTGCTCAATTTATTGTACATACCAATGTCTCTTTGATGAATTACTGTGAGGTGATTTTGAAATGTGCCTTGAAATATGTCTTAAGTAATTAGTGCATAACAAGTTTGAATAATTGATTATATCTGAGGCAAACCAAGAGATGTGAATAGTGATAAATGTGAATCGCTATTTGAGTGTTTGCCATGGACAAATAATACAAAGTTCATACTCTCAGCACATACGTGTTGATGCAGCTTTATTTCAGTTTGAAGTTACCCCACTTCTTATATTTGTAGAGACTTTGGCATTTTTCTTGGAATAGAACTGTAGCTTAATAAAATTCAGTTCCTCGACACACGTAGATCATTTTATGGTGAATTTAGATAATAAGAGTTAGCCTCCACTGCAAATTATAAGTTCTGTGTCATTTTACTGCTTTAAGATGTGAAATTTTTTGTTAGTGTTGAAACTCTGTAAGAAGACTGCACTGAAAGTGGGTCTTGGCTTGTTACGCAACACACTGGCCACAATTAAAAGCTGGTTGCCTATGGGTAGAAGATGGTCTTGCAGAACCAGGAACCAGAAAGATTTCCTGATCCCTGCAAAAATAAGTGAAACTCAGCTGTTGCTGTGGCCAGTTCTAATACTGGCACTCAAAAAACCCCACAAACCCAAAAAACCCAAACAAAAAAAAGGATGAGTTTAAAAAAGAGCCAGAATATAATTATGGGAAAGTTTGAGAAGTCTAGCAGTGAAAGGCAAGAGAAGTTATGCAGGTTAACACAAAACCAAAGGTAGTGC